TATTTAAGGACTATTGATTGCATAACAGGTTTATTGATTCACATGGTCTCAAACACATAAATGTTCTGTTTATATCATCATAAGCATAGCTGGTACAGCACGACTATCTACATCTTGCTTGTGAATTTTCATAAATAGCTTTAATATGCTTTATATCATTATGGCATCATCTAAATGAGATGGGTGCATGCTTGGATTCATAATATAACTGAATGTATGCTTGGCATGTTTGACAGTTGACAATATGCACTGGTTGTTTACTATATTCATCATTAAGAACATGTGTTGAGTAAATAATTGCTTTGACTGTCAACTGAGATTCAGTTCAGTGATAAAAAGGGTGACATTAGGGCATTAGAGGTTCCAGCTTCAAGACCATGCTATGCCTTTGCTGATGTAGGGTGGACATCTCAAGTCTAGTAAGTAGTTGAGTCCTTTAATTCATTGAAAACTTTGATTGGTTAACTTGTCACATAATAGCTCATGAATTAAGTAGCAGGAACATGGAAATGAGAAAAGGACATGACCCTGACAAGTGCAATTCCTCATGATAAAGTAGACTGCGGAGACACCTCTCAGCGTGAAAATAGAATATCTATCAATATAAGGGAGATTGTATATATACATACATAAAAAACGTCACCTCATACGAAAATTGAGATGCCTTCTTCTTCTAATATAATTGACATAACTATTATATATATGCTAAACTTTAATGTATCCTATTTTTTTCATTAACTTTGCAAAAGAAATTGGACTTCGCTCTTCAACTTTATGATAGTAGTTTATTATATGTCATATTTTATATCGATATATCTAGACTTAATATTTCTATCATACGAGTCCATAATTTGATGATCTTTTGCAGCTAAAACTTAGTCTTTGATATATCACTGAAGGTAAATATGTATCTAGAACATGTAAGATGAAGAAAGTTGTTTATGAGAAATATAGAGATATGTCCAAGAACTTTCTGAAAATTGAAAAAAAAATACAGTATTTAATTGAGGGCGGGAGAAGTGTCCGGCTCATGTCCAATGAGTCTTCAAGACCTATCAGGTCTGAAGCCTGTACTTCCTGTATTTCATGGTTTAAGATCTCATTCTACATAGCTCATGATCATGTTAGAATATGATAGTGATCTAACACTAGAATGTAGGAGTGCAATATTCATTAATCACTGTCACATAACTTATTAATTTTACTCAATCGGTTTGTTACAGGCTATGCTGTATAGAAAAATTTAGGCACTAAATAGTATAAATGATTAGTTAAATTGATCAAAATTGTTACTTATGGCTACCTGGTAACTTTTGCATACTTAAGTTATATGTTGTTTCAAATGTTAATTATTTCAGTAAGCACATGTTAGAGAAAAATCATTCTTTTAATGGTAACACATATACTTATATATTATTATTCTTACTTTAAGATTGATGATACCTTTGTTTATTTTTATATTCTGATCCTGTTTGATTTTTATAGTAGACATGCATAACAACTTCTATCTAAATTTCATTCTCTGATTCCTTGTATATGCAGTTTGCAGTACTTTATGAAGCACGTGCCAATACTGGCGTCGACAGAATGAAAATAATAAATGCAGTTGCAAAGTCTGTTCCTGAGCCCCATAAAGTGGATCTTAATAAGCCGGACAAGACTATCATAGTTCAAATTGCCAAGGTAGATGTCACATTGATCTCGTTTCTTCTTAAACACTGCACTGTTTCTACTTCTAGATAATGTTGGAAGAAAGCTAGTTATAATATGAGAGAAAGAGCTTCAAGGTTTTGAAGTTAGTTTTATGAGAGAAAGAGCTTCAAGGCTTAGAGTTCGTCTACTAATATTCTTTAGGCTATACATGAATGAGTGTAGTTGTTACAGGCTCTAGCTTACACTGACAGCTCATTTGTGAGAACTACAAGCTAGTTTTGCGTTTAGTATTTTGTGATGCTCAGTTGGTAGAATTTCTTGTTGACTAGACTATTTGGTAGAATTTCTTGTTGACTAGACTATTTTTTGGGATTTGAAACTCATATGACATTGCGTTACTGTGCATGTAACTACACTTTAGGATGTGTTTGTGAAGGAAAATACCAAATAGGAATACATCAGGTAAAGACGAATGCCCTCCAAATTAGACTTAGTGAAGGAACTATACATCTAATATGGTAAATGGATCCTGCCTAGGTTGGACGTGCTGTTTGGATTAAAACGGTGATAACCCCAAATGCAAGTGACACGCCATTATACATATCTAATCTTAGCTTGGTGTTTAGTTGATTGGCATTTTCAGTCAACTTTTTATAGTTCGAGACAGGTTCATACAGTAATTAAAACTACACAAACATATTTGGCTATCTTGCACTTGTATACATTGTTTTAAATATCCCTGACATGGCCTGATATATCCCTCGATATATCCTTTTACAGGGCTTGCTGCAACCAATATGGTCTCAAAATATCCTTTACCGCTTTTTGGCTATTTTGGGTGATATATCCCCGATATGATCAATATATCTGCTGATATGTTGACCGATATATCCTTTTATATGGTTTGTCATGAAACAATATATCGTGTTTGGCAATTTTTGGCGAGATATCATGACTTTCCCATTATATCAAATGGCATTATGGCCTAAAAAAATAGATGAAATTTTGCAATGTTGATTTGTACTTTATTTGTTTTACAAGGTTGATAAATATCCTAAACATATATTATTTACATTTTGTATGCTTAGCTTTCATTAAGTATGTTGAGATTACATTTTAGTGCATTATACTATATATGCAAACATTCGTATGACATTCCGATATTTACCACACATTCCCCATATTTCCTTAGTATATGCTATCCGATATGAATTTTGACCATCCAATATTTTCCCGATATCCGATATTTAAAACCTTGCTTGCGTATTGGACTAGAACTCCCGTAATATAACTGCATGAGATTTAGACAGCTTATAATAGAACGAGCTAAAACTCAGCATACATTTTCCTTCTGTACATGCATAATAGTGCAGCTTAAGGAGAGAAAATAAGAAACAAGGAGAGAGAAAATAGAGGAATTGGGGGAGAAAGAGATAACCAGCCCTGGGCCTTAACAAGCTCAAACTCAAATGGAAGCAATTACCCTATAATCTTTTTCGTTTTGTAGCCAACAACCACCAATATGAGCTCAAAAGTCCTATGTATGACATGACTCTATGCAATGACTAGCCTGATGAAAAGCTAGCGAAACTTACTGCCAAACATACTGTGGCGGCGGATGAGGATATTGATAGTAGTGAATATGGACTGTTGATGTTCGTTCTCTTTTATTTTTTGTGTCGGGGAAGGATTTCATTTTTTTTGGGGTATGCCTGGTCAGTGGTGTATCTTGGTTTCTTATTCCTTTCCTCTTTCTTTCTCGTGTTTTGTGATTGTGCATGTTAGGGGTGATCTCATTGGAACAATGGAAAGGAAAGGGGAAAATGAAGCAAGAGAGTGACTTTTCTTAGGATGTTGCGGAAATAGGAGAGAAAAATATTCTGATTTTCGCATTGATTAATTTAGAATTACAACCTATTATATATAGGAAAGATACAGACGTTAGAATAGGAAACTAACCAATCTATAAATCGGGAACTAACTATTCTAAATAATTCAAATCCTACAATTAAAGGGATATTGCTAACTACTCTATTTTCTAATTAATATATACATCTCGACATTCTCACTCAAGCTGAGGAATAGATGTCATCCACATAGTTGTGCAATTCCCCAGACCTCGCCTCGAACCGTTGTACAGTTCTTGCGAACTGATTCCTGATACATTTACGAACCAATTCCCTCTAATACACGAACTGGTTCCCCAAAATTGACGTATCACTTACAAGTATGTTAATTGCAAAGTCTCTTTAAGTGCACGTGCACAAAATGCAATGCAATGTGTGCAATTAAGTGAAGGAAGAGACACAATAAACTGTATGGGCCAATAATTTTACTGTAACTAAATACGTATGTTAATTAAATATAAATCGAAACCATAACCATAAAACAAGCTCCGTGAAAAAAGAATAGAACAAAAAAACAAACACCACCTAAAAACAATATTGAAGTATTTTGCGTGAAAAAATATTAAAATTCATAATTAGCTTTCTAGTTTTCTACTATATACTTTAGAAAACTTTAAGTGCACCCAAAAAAATATACAATGCACCACAAATCGAACTTGCTTACCGAAACAAACTATCCCCTAGCAAATCCAAATTTTCAAAGTGGCGAATTGCGTACCCGAATTCGTACCGTGACCCGCTACGTACCGCGTACCACATAACTATGGTCATCCATTCCCAGCATGGAAACATTATCATGAAAATTAGAGCTGTTCAGTCCCTCTGTCAAAACATTTGCGAGCTGGTATCGTGATGGAACATGAGACATGCATACTAGTCCCTCTTCTAGCTTCTTCCTAATAAAATGGCTATCAATCTCAACGTGTTCGTCCTATCATGGTGTATAGGATTATGAGCAATATTGATAGCTGATTTATTGCTACAATAGAGCTTCATAGGTCCTTCCCACTTGACTTTCAAGTCGCCTAGAATAATCTTCAGCCACAACATCTCATACAGACATTGAGCAATTGCTCTAAATTATGATTCAGCAGATGATCTAACCACAACATGCTATTTTTTTTCTCCTCCAAGTTAGAAGAGTACCTCCAAGAAAAGTACTGTAACCAGTGGTTGATCTTCTATTAACTATAGCTCCTCCATAGTCAACATCTGTATAAACTTTAAGAGAGATTCTCCTGTCTTTTGAACATGATTCCTTTTCCTGGTTTTCCTTTCAAATAATGCAACACTCTATAAGTAGCTTGTAGATGTGACTTTCTCGGATCATGCATGAATTGGCTGATCACACTCACAGAATATGTTATGTCTAGTCAAGTATGAGCAAGGTAAATGAGTATGTCTACTAACCTCTGGTACATCTTTTTACCAACGAGTGGTTCTTCCTTGGCTTCTCCAAGTTTCTGGTTTGCTTCTATTGGCGTAGTTACTGGTTTACACCCGAGCTTCCCTGTCTCATTCAATAGGTCAATTACATACTTCTGTTGGGATATGAAAACCCCCCTTTTTGAGTATGCCACTTCAATACCTAGGAAGTACTTCAATCTCCCAAGCTCCTTTATCTGAATTCTTTGATCAGCCGGTGCTTTAATTCTAGTTTTCCCTTTTCATTATTTCCAATTACTATGATGTCATCAACATATGCTAGAAGTGCAGTCACCCCCTTGCATCCGAGTGCTTTATGAAAAGAGTATGATCACCTTGATTTTGTCGATATCCAGAGTCTTTCGTGACTTTAGTGAATCTTCCAACCCATGCCCTGGGGGATTGTTTTAGTCCATAAAGAGCCTTCTTTAACCTACAAACTTTGTTTCTTGCATCTTCTTCAAAGCCTGGAGGGATGTCCATGTAAATTTCTTCATCTAAGACTCCATGAAGAAAAACTTTCTTGACATCATAATGTAGGAGTTGCCAATCAAAGTGAGCTGCCAATGATAATAGAATCCTTAGGGTATTCATTTTTGCCACAGGAGCAAAAGGCTCCTGATAGTCTACTTCATAAGTCAGAGTGTATCCTTTGGCTACCAACCTCGTTTTGTACCTTTCAAGTGACATATTTCGGTGTGAAAATCCACTTACAACCGACTATGTTTTTCCCTCTTGGCGTATCAACAAATTTCGAGGTTTGATTCTTTTCTAATGCAACCATTTTCTCTCTTATGACATTCCTCCATTCTTTACTTGACAATGTCTCAGACACGGTAGTGGGAATAAAAATGGTGTTTAAACCGGCAATGAATTTTTCGTGGTTTGGTGATAAGCTTTTAAGAGAAACAAAGCGGGACAATGGGTATAAAGGCTTTTTTGTACATTCTCTACTATCTTTTCTAACGGTTATGGGAAGGTCAGAATCATCTGTGGATGGCTCAACTGCTTGTGTATTGAAAGGAGGGTCAGATCTTACCGTGGAATCATCACCAGAGACCGGGTTGTATTCGTAAACTTGTTGCGAGTCCTGAACAGTTCTTTCAGAGTATACCTGTGAAAATCTTGGATCATTATGAATAACACGAACTGACACTTGAGATGGGACATTAGTTTTTTCAGAATTGTTTTCTAGGACATGATCAGGATTTGGGATGGTTGTGTTGGACACTACTAGACTAGGAGCTGATGATGGTGTATTTATAGCACGGAGAGGTAGATCAAGATTAGAAATATCACAACTGCTATCTTCTAGCATTGATGGAATGTCCCCTGAAGATATGACTTGATGAAATAAGGCTTTTTTTTTCTGTGAATGTCACATCAGCTGAAATGTAAAATTTTTCTCGTAAGAGGATTATAGCACTTATGTCCTTTTTATGTAGAAGAGTAACCAAGAAAGATGCTTATTTGCTCGGGGATCTAACTTCCCTCTTTGGTGGCTGTGAATGTGCACAAAAGTTGTACATCCGAACACTCTAGGAATGAGACCATTGGAACTTTGAAAATCTAGATAAAAGGTATTAAGAACCTCTATGGGGCTTTTGTTGGCTAACACTCGAGAAGGCAATCTGTTTATCATACGGGTGACAGTGATGACATCTTCCCCCAATAGGTTTTACGAACATTTCCCTAGAA